CTCATTAATTTATCTCTTGTCACAGGGCCCCAGCTGAGAATCCGGAAGGCTAGAGGGAAGAGGTTTTATGTTCAGCTTCGCAGGGTTGGCTGTGAGGTCCAGAGGATGGGGCTAGCCAGGGAAGTGCAGAATTCGAGCTTCTCCAAGAGGCGGGGTTTGGACAGACGGGTTAGGCTTCACAGCTGAAGCCACGAAATAGCTGAGGTCAGCAAGGAGGAGGGTGTAAGTGGAGAAGAGAGATGAAGGAAACCGTGAAGGCAGCAGTGGTACCTGTGCTGCAGGGTCAGCAGCTGAGCAGAGCGAGATCCTTACAAGGCCCTTGCCTCTCCCTCCAGGGGTGGAGGCTCTCGTCAGAGGACCAGAAAGTGTCTTAGAGTACCTGTGGATACCCAGGGGGCCTCGTGTCACCCACCCTGCAGACAGGGTCATCGGCCACAGAGAGGACCAAGCTGGGTCAGCGAAGGACAAGCACCCCCACCTCACGGACAGAACGAGGAGGACAGAGAAGGTAATTAGTTTTTGTGGAACAGAGGATTTGACCTATTTCTTCCTCTGAATTTAATCAACTCAACGCCTGAAAGGGCGGGAAACAATAGAAGTGGGAAGGAAATTGTACCAAAAGAAGCTGCCTCTGTGGGGATCCAGCCGTGCGAGCTGCAGGGAAAGCAGTGTGTGTCGCACTGTCGCTCTGGTCTCGGTGGTGGACCAAGGACAGACGAATGGTCCTGATGGGAGGCGGGGCTGAGCCGAGCCTCAGGGAAGGGTCTGCGTTAGAAGCTCCTGTGGAGACGCCGTCAGCTCGTGAGAGCCCACAAAGTTCCCTGACAGCTGTTCTCAATCTTAAGCACATCACTTGCAGAACTTGTTAAAACACAGATTGCTGGCCTCGCCCTTAGACACTTGGATCCAGAGCTGGAGAGGATGCATTTATTTTTAAAAACTTTTCCCCAGTTTTATTGAGATATAATTCACATACAAACTGTATAATTTAAGGTGTACAATATGTTGATTTGATATACATGTAGATTTCCAAACGATTACTACCATAGCATCAGCTAACACAGAAGGTGCATTTCTAACACGGTCCCAGGGGATGCTGATGTGGCTGGTCCAGGGATTACTCTAAGGACTGCTGGTCTGTGAGATCCCCAAAGGGTGGCGCGCACACCTTTACCCAAGGTGGTTGTCGACAGTACTAGGGTGAATATCAAACATTGAAACAGTAGTGTATGTATTTTCAGGTGTATTTAAAAAGTTCTGCTTGCCTATAAAATTCATGATTTTAAGGATACTCTGGTTTAGAACAAAACTAAAGTGGATCCAAGCAAAAAGTGAGTCAATTTAAATAAAAATACTTAGCAAAAAAGTAGGTAAAATTAGGGGATAAATCAGATTAGGGGATAAATCAGAAAGTGGTATGCAAATTATTAATATTAAGTAAAGATGAACATAAAGAGGAAATGACCTTACACTTATGCTTACTGTGTAGTTAGGGTTCAGGGTGGGTGTCCCAAATTAACAAGCAGAAAGGCCTGGACACTGCGCACTCGGAACCGTCACAGTGAAAAGCCATCAGGTCTGCTGTGGAAGGGAAGGCAGTACGTATCAGCCCAGTCCGGGCAGCTGATTGGGTCTCTGTTTTAGCGATGAGGACACTGAAGTTTTGAGAATTTGTTTTCCAAGGTCACAGTCAAATTAGGAGTAAATCTATGACTAGAATAGATAGAGCATTGCAGAGTTAAGAACAGCAAAATGTGCCTAGGACACTCACCTGGAAGGCTGGACACACGCCTCTGTTAGCCCTGTCCCTTCCAGATAACCCCCCACCCGGAAATAGAGGGGCTTCGCACCATGGCCCTACCCTGGGCCCTCCTTCCTCTCCTGTGGGTGACCCAGGACCTCCACAGGGGTCACCGGCCCACCTGTACATGTGTATATACAAGCCCTGCCTATAAATCATTTTGATTGTTTACATTTGTTCAACAGATATTTCTAGAGCACCTCTGGAGCTGGGACATGGTGCTAGATACGGGCTACAAAGCAATGGAACACAAACCCTGCCCTCCAGGAGCTCACGGCCTCCCATGGCAACAGATGGGAGCTGATTACATGGCGCAGGGATGCGGGGAGGAAAATGCACACCACCAGTTGGAGGGAGGGTGGTCCATATCCCCCCAGAGGTGGTGACCTGCCCTGGGTCCTGAAGGTCGGGAAGGTTTCTCCAAGCAAAGGGAGAATACGAGGCTATTCCAGGCTGAGAGAGGAGCAAGTGCAAAGGTGCGGAGAAGAGAGGTCATGGTGCACTGAGGAACCAACGCTGGTTCAGCACGGTTCAGGCACTGAGTGTGAGAGGGTGTGTAAAGTAGCACAGCATAGACTGTCTGCCAGGCACTGTTGCTAGTACTCTGTGGGCACGTGTGCGCGTGCACACACACACACACACACAGGTTCTCGTGTATCAATTCATATATGCACAAATGAATTAATATACTTAATTATATTAATATAATTAACATGCACATATATATGCAATATGTGTAGATTATGTTGATGCATATAAATTCATGTACACATATGTATACATGTGAATATATGTAATAGGTTGATGAATAAGTACAGCTAATTTTAATCCTCACAAGCCTACCAGGTAAGCACTATTGTTATTCCCATTTAATACATGAGGAAACTGAGGCATAGAAAGCTTTTAATAATTCTCCCAAGGATATACAGTTAGTAAGTGGCAGAGCTGGGATTTGAACCCAGGCCCTCTGATTCTAAAATCTGAACTCTTATCCACTAAGCTTTGTGGGACTGACAGGATGAGGATGGGAAGGAATGGAGACAGGCTTCAGACACAGAGGGCCTCAGGCACCAGGCTGGCCGGTGGGGCTTTATCTTGAAGGGTTTTAAGCAGAGGAGTGAAAGGATTCATCTACTCAGTCAATTAACACATATTTATTAAATGCCAACAGTATGCTGGGTACCATACACCAGAACCTGGGGATGGAGCAGTGAACAAGGCAGAAACCATCCCCTCGGTCGGGGAGCTTATCTGCTAGCCGAGGGAAGAGTCATTAAAAGTCCACAATTAATTGACTCCTAAGTGAGTAAGTGGAGGAGCAGATCAGGGCCAGGTCAAAGTGTGCAGCCAGGGGCCCAGACTGTTACAGGCAGCTTCTCCGATCAGAGAAATGCCATGTTAGGGCTGCATAGACATGAACGAGGCCAAGGGAAAAAGGGGAAAGGTTAGGGGGAGTCCAGGCTGAGGAAAATGGGTATGTTGGGCCTCCGGCCAACTGGCCCTGGAGCACAGAATCAGACTGGGGAAGAGGAAAGGAAGAGTAGGCTTTAATTTTGGAAACATTGAATTTGAGGTGCCAAGAGGACACGCCAATGGAAATGTCCAGGGGGCACTGGGTACCAAGATGGGGTTCCAGGGTCTGGGCTTCAGGAGAGAGTCCAGACCTGAGGGGAAGGATCTGACAGTCAGCAAACATGGCATTTAAACCCACAGGAATGAATGAGCTTGTCAGGCAATGTCTGACTGTAGAGGGAAAGTGTCTGCAAGTGATTCCCAAGATAGACTAGGAGGCAAATATCTGAAATCTTGGGGCAGAAAGGAGGGAACACCAGTCATAAACCACCAGAAGGGGGTCTTCCTACCCCCAACCTCAGCCCCACTCCAGGCCTCACACTCACAAAGAGCCTCATGTACAGACTTTTAGCTTCCTTTCCACATGGGGCCACATATGCAGTCTTCTTACCTGCCTGTTTGTGTTAAAAGTGTTCATTTGCTGTATAGTAAACATTTAATATACAAGATTTGGTGTTCCTTGATTCTAAATCCTCAAAAACTAGAAATTGTCTGACCTCCCTCAACTTTAGGGTAGGCAAGATTTTCCACGTGTCCTCAGTGTCCCTCCCAAGCTGCCTGGTTTCTTCATTGTTCCAGCCTCCAACAAGTTCTCTCCTAAGAACAGTGTCTCTGAGGCTGCATGACATCCTGCCAACGCCCCCTTAGGAACACCCCTTTTGGATCCCAGTCCTCCAGAGTCCCACCCCCGCCCCTTTCCTTAAGCTGAGAAGAGTGTCAGGAATGACCAAATCTTGGATGACAGTGAACTAAGATCACAGAACGTGTGGATTCACATTCCAGGGCCAGTTCATGTGCTTCTTCAAGGTGCCTGAGCATTCATTCAAATTCGGGAAGATACTCAGGTGATCAAATTGCAGTTTTCTTTTGTTAATATGATTTTTCTGTGACATTCTGTAGAGCTCCAGTTTTAAGGCTATATTTGTAAGAATTCGTAAGAATGAAATTAAGAGCCCAATGCCCTGAGTTTTGTTCCCACCTCTGGCACTAACCAACCCAATGGCATCTTTACTTTTTTTTATTGCTCATTTTTATTTATCAAATCAGCAAGTGTATGTTGGGAGCTTACTATGTACAAGGCTCTGTGTTAGTAACATGGCAAAGAAAGTCCTTGAGCTCAGGAAGTTTAATATCAGGTAGGGTATGATGACCCAAGTACACCATGATCATAACACAGTGCCCAGAGGGTGACAGTCAGTCTGCGTTCCATGGGGGCTCACGTGGCAGGAAAGATGCGCCCTAGCAGAGGTGGCATTTGAAAGGACCTTGAAAGATCAGGAGGTCTTCAGAAGATGAGCATGGTAACAAGGGCTAGGGAAGGGGGTGGGAGGTGGACCGCAATGGGCACGGCATTCCAGGTGGAGGAACAGCATAAGCAAAGGCATAGATGCAGAGAAGTCTGGGAATTGCTTAGGACCATGCTTACGACTGTGACTGATCCACAGTGAGTTAAATACAGAAGCTGAGAGTAAGCATTTGAAAAACTTCAGTAGTAATTTGAGGGAGTAATTTTGTGTTCAGACTAATAATTTAAAAAGTGAACTTGTATTCATGTATGTCCTTTTACTTCAGTTTTCACTTAGTGTTAGACTTTTTCATATTTTACTATTGAGATCAACTGGAAGATTTTTGTTTTGTTTTGTTTTGTTTTTAACCTTGTGTTTTATCTATTTTACATACAGTAATTAGCATCTGCCAATCCCAAGCTCCCAATCTATCCCTCCCCACCTCCCCACCCGCTTTTTCCCCTGGTAACCATAAGTTTGTTTTCTGTGTCTGAGAGTCTGTCTCTGTTCTGTGAATAAGTGCATTTGTGCCCCCCACCTTCTTTTTCTTTTTTTTTGGATTCCACGTATAAATGACATCATATGGTATTTTTCTTTCTCTTTCTGGCTTACTTCACTTAGTATGATGATCTCCAAGTCCATTGCTGCAAATGGCAGTATTTTAAAAAGGCACACTCTCTGAAGCCTAGGGATGTTAGAAAGTTGGTCTCATTGGGAAATAACAAACCTTCATTAACAATCTAAATTATTTATTCCTATATAGTCATTAGTGGGACCCAAGAAGTCAGGTCTTAGGTTCCGGCACTGCCATCAAGGGACTGCGGGATGACAGCTGGAGAGGGAAGGATGAGAGAGGATGCTCGTCTTGGGCAGCCAACTCCCCTGCCCAGCATTGAATACTAGGCACTGAACACTAAATTCCCGGGAGGCTGCCTCGCTCTCATTTGCCAAAGCTAAGTAGGAATGACACAGCAAACATGAAAAATAAAGAGAAACAGAGTATTGGAAGAGTGATGGGTATAAAGAGCAACATTTTTCCTCTTCATTATTAAACCCCAGTGTTAGCAGCACATTGACAGTATTTTCCAGGGAGCTTTGTAAAATGAAAAGCCTGTAGGGAAACTGTTGTGCTTTTCCTGAGCTTGGAAGAGGAATTGGGGCCAGCCTCACACTGGAAAATAGGAAAATCTGTGTATTAAGTATCACAGTGGGAGAGCTGGGAAACATGTCTTGACTGACAGTGGCTGTATTTCTCCCTTTCTTTCTAATGTGCTTTTTCTCTCAGCTTTATAATTTATTTTACTGTCATTGGAAAATTATCCAGGTGGTTCTCCAGCTCTTCCAGCGTGCTAAGTAATAAATGGGAGGTATGAAGGTAAACAGTTTCCAGGGATTACTCTCAATCACGCACAGTGATGGCTGGAAAGGGAGGAAAGGGTAATTTGCTCCGGGGAATCCCCTCTCGTGTACATTATAATACAGCAGACAGCGTGCTCTGACATCCGCCCCCGCCTGCCTTACACTGCAGCGGCCTCCTAACTGGCTCCCCAGTTTCTTGTTCTTTATCGGCTCCATTCTGTTCTCCACCCAGCAGCTGGGACGATCATAAAACCCAAGTCACAGCTGGTCACCCGCTGTTTAACACCTTTAGCGGCTTTCTGTTGTTGCACTTAGAATAAAACCCAGACCTCTTGGCCTCCAAGGCCCTGCTGACCTGAGGCAAAGATAAACAAGTTGGATACTAGTTAAAGTGGTAAGGACAGATTGTAATCAGTGATACATTTTGCAGTCAGGCAAAGAGTCCATCATGAGTTGAACTCAACCTGGATTTGTCGAGGTGGATGGGCACTTTAAAGGGAGAATGAGGAAGCAGGGAGAGTGGGCAAACAGGGGCTTAATACAGTTAGGGAAGGGAACGATCACAAAGGGCTAGATGGTATAAATGCCATTAGGTTGGCTGTGTCTGCTGGTGACAGCTGTGGAAGTTAGGAGACTGTCCTCCAAATGAGCCCGAGACATGGAAGCCCCGTCCGCAGCTGATGGCCAGAACAGACAGCAGTTGTTTGTGACAGCCTTGAGTTTTCTCAGGCAGGCATTTTAAGGGGGAAAACGGTTATCTTAGGGATGTGGCCTTGAGCTGTTAGAAAATACGTTAGCATTTGTTCAAGTCTTCATATACCAAGGTTAAAGCCTAGTTGGGGGCTCAGAGGAGCCTGGCTAGAGTCTGGCCGAGAAGAGGATCTTTGTGAGCCACCCTCCAGCTGCCATCACTCCGTCCCCACTTAGCACCCACCCACCCACCTACCTCGTCCATGCCCTCCTTCCATCTTGGTCTGCCTTCAGTTCCCAGTGCCATGTCCTTCCTGTCAAAGGAGTTTTTCACTCTGCTGTTTTCTCTGCCTTTTCTCCCATTTGGACATCAGCTCATATTTCATGACTCAGCCTGAAGATCACCTCCTCCAAGAGGCCTCCTCTGACCGCCCTATCTAAAACAAGTCCCTCTCTGTTCAGCTCTAACTCCTTTGCTGTTGTTTTCTGTCTCATGTTGGGCTGTAAACTCCGTGAAGGGAAGGCTCAGATCTGTCTTCACCCTTCTGTCCCAAGTGTCTAGCATGGCACAGACAGATGCTCATTAAATATCTGCTGAATGAATGAATGAATGAATGCTCTCCACCCTCACCCAGATCTGACTTCCTCCAAGACGGACCCACCGTGAGCTCCTAGGGGTTTACATGTCATTTGAGAACAGTTCTATGAGACTGTAAAGCGGAAAGTAGAGTCTCGGGTTTGTGCATCAAAACAGAATTTTACTTAAAGTGTCCTCATAACTGAGAGCCAGTGTGGGATTAGGGCAGACCTGGAGGAGTTCTTAGAGCTTGCACGGTGAGCTCCAGTGCTGTGGTGTGCAGGTGGGAACCCTGGTAAATCTGACCCCAGTGTGAAGCCTGCATTTGGAGCCCACCTGGCAGGACAATGCCCTTCACAAGAAGATCAAAGGCCTTTGAGAAACCTGACTTCCCAGCGCTTAGGGATCCCTGCAGGAGCAGCCCCTTCCCAACCCCCAGCAGACCCCTGGAGAAAGACTAGTTCTCAGAAACTTTTTTAAAAAGTGGGTGGTATTATACTAAGTGAAATAAGTTAGACAGAGAAAGAGAGATACTGTATGATATCACTTAGATGTGGAATCTAAAAAATAAATATAACAAAACAGAAACAAACTCACAGATATAGAGAATAAACCAGTGGCTACCAGTGGGGTAGGCAAGAGAGGGGTTGGGGACAACCTGGTACGTATCAAGTAAGTAAGCTACAGTGGGGAGGGTACAGCTTAGTGGTAGAGTGCATGCTTAGCATGCATGAGGTCCTGGGTTCAATCCCCAGTCCCTCCATTAAAAAATAACAATAAACAAATAAATAAATAAATCTAATAAAAAAAAAAGTAAGCTACAAGGATATACTGTGCAGCACAGGGAATATAGCCTGTATTTTAAAATAACTATAAATGGAGTATAATCTTTAAAAATTGTGAATCACTGTGTTGTTTACGTGTGATTTACATAATATTGTGAATCAGCTATACCTGAATTTCTAATGACAATTATAAAAAGAAATTTGAAAGAAGGGAAATGACTAAGGCCTTGTGGGTGACTCAGAGAGTTAGCAGATCTACCAGAGGGCCCACTGGGGTGCTGAGGGGAGGGAACAGGGGCAGGTGGTATTTACGGGAGGTCTGTAAAGCAGATTATTTGTATGTTAATATATGAGATCATAAACTCTACCTTATTCATTCAGTGTTTTCAAGCATTCGGAAGTGGCTCTTCTGTAGTGTTTCGGGGGAGCCTTCACTGAGTTGTTACCCAAATGTCCATCTCCTGTGCCCCGCCCCCAGCCCTGCCTCTCCAGACCGTCTCCTCTCTGCCTTTTAGGACACGACATATTCCTGGTTCTCTTTCTCCTTCCAGCCACTTTTCTCACGAAAGTCACTTCTCCGTGACTGTTCCTCTTACTCCCACTGGAATGTGGATACCGGGTTTTCCTAAGATGCAGTCACCAGCCCTCTTTTCTTTCCTCAGTTTCTCAGGGAGCCCATCCTCATGGTTCAGCTGCAGCTTTACACTGATGGCTCCTCAGCTGACATCTCTTGCCTGGATGTCATTCCTGAATCCTGGGAGTGTTCACGGGTGTAAGAGCGAGGAAACATCGTAATTTTCCCTCTACCCTCTAAGCTCTTGGCTGAGACCCCTGCAACAACAACAACAACAGAATAACCAGAAACAAACCAGTCTGGTTATTAACGTGTGCAGCACACATCACGCAGGAGAAACCTAAACCAAAAGTAACTCACAATGGTGGCTTAGAATTCCAGCTGATAGAGCGTCTTCAACAGAGAACAGTACACCTGTAGAGAAATAACAGAACAAAGCAGTTTCAGTCTCCCAAGGGAAGGTAAATCTAGGAAGGAAGCTAACAGAGGAAAGTTTGTGCTGATTTTCTATTGCATCTCTGGGCTGATGTGAGAACTTGTCTCCAGTAAAAGAATTTATGTCCTGCTTTTCGGCAAAAAGGAGGAGCTCTTTCTGAGTTTGCTGCTTCTCAGTTGCCTTCAGCTTAAAATCATTTTTATGTCGAAGAGGCCTGCATATTTTGGGGTTTTGATTTCCTTCACATTTCCATCAACCATCACTTCAAACTCAACAGGTCCTGAATTTGATTCTCCACGGTCCCCAGCTAGTTCATTTCTTCCAGTGCTCTTGTTTCTATGCCTGCATCCACTATTCTTCAAATCTCTGATGGATGACATTCTTGAGGTCACCTTTAAGCCATCCCCTTTTCCTCCTAGGCTGAGTCCCACAAGCTCCAGATTGTTTCATTTAACCCTCTGGCGTCTGTGCTCATGGGAGGACTATTTCAGTTTTAAGTGACAAAACCCCAACCCAACCTGGCTCAAGTGCCCAAAGCAATTTATTGGTTCACATATTTGAAAAGCAAGATGTTTTCAGGAATTGCCTTTCTCCACCTCTTGGCTCAGTTTTCTCCGTGTGGTTTTGGTTGTCAGGCAAGTTTTCTCTTGCATATCAAGTATGGAAGGTGAGTGCTTCATGGTCCCTGTATGACTAAGGAGATTCCTTTGTGTTCCGATTCCATTTCTACCATGAAAATTGAGCTTCACTGGCCTGCCTTTTGCTTTTAATGCTAAATCATGAAATTCCAGAGCCTGACCTTCAAAAAAAAAGTCCTCAAATTAACAGAAAAGTCTCAGAAAGAGATGAAGGCGATATGCTCTCTCCAAGGAAGAGGAAAGAACTCTTTGCATTTACAGCTTGTTAAAAAAGACCTGATTTAATGGGGCATTAAATTGTTAACATTCATGAGAATATCCAACTTGTTTTTCCAGGCCACAGAGACTTTGCTAGATATTCCTAAGTGTTACCAACTTCTTCTGTTCACTGTCTTTGGAAGAATAATTTGGACAAAGGGGTCTAGTAGTAAGACTGCTAAACTTAAAAAAAAAAGTTGCAAGTTGTAAAAATAACCTTGAAAAAGCACCCTGTATCTCTGATTTGTTGTCTTACTTGATAACGTAATAATGTGGAAATTGCCACCTCTGCATTTCTGAAACCATATGAACTCTGGCAGATATTCTAAGCTCCATGGGCCATGTGGCCTCTGTCACACTATGCAGCGCTGCCCTGGTAGCACCAGAGCAGCCGTTAGCCAGTGAGTGTTGCTGTGTTCTAAAACCACTTCATTTATGGACACTGAAATGTGAATTTCATATAATTTCCATGCATCATGAAATACTCTTCTTTTGATTTTTTTCAACTATTTAAAAATACATAAACCTTCCTTACCTCTCGTTTGCACTGTCTAGAACTCTGTCTAGAACTGCCTTCCCCCATTTATTCATGTGGCTAATTCCCTTACTTCCTTAAGTCTCTGCATCTCACCTTCTCAATGAGGCCTAACCTGACCATCCTGTTTAAAACTGCAACCTACATTGTTTCCCACTGCCCCCGCCGTCCCCACCTTTACTCCTTATTCCTCTTACCTCGTTATCATTTTCCCATAGGACTTATCACTTTCTGAAATAAGAAATAATTTTCTTATTTAAAATTGTATTATTCATCTTCCTTTGCCAGAGGGCAGGGTTTTTAGGCAAAAGTTCAGAGATGCATCCAAAATGCCTAGAAGTCTGCCTGGCACACAGGCAACATTGAACAGCTTGGTTGAGTAATTAAACAGATGGATTAATGACCCATCAAACCCCTGGTCAGCTAGTAGACTCGAGTTCAGGTCATTTGATAATAGAAGTTGGTTTCCCCTTCTTGGCCTACATGGAGGGCTTGGTCTTTAGAAATGGAATTGTCTAAGATTCACTTCCTGTTAGACACTTCATTCAAGATAGGCCAAAGGACTCCAAATGCAGGGGGAAAAAGACAAAACGATTTTTAAATAAAAAGAGGTTGAATGCTTATAATCTGCTATACTTCTTTTCCAGACTTAGCCTTATCCTCTGCTCAAGTCTGGTGGTCCCTTCGGCATTCTGCGTGTAGGAAACCTCTTCCAACCTCCTCACACCTGTGGGTGATGACTAGAGAGTGTCAAGTGGCTGACAACTTAGGGCCCTAAAATAGGGAGACATGATCAGGAGCAAACAAGTTAGTTTTTTGCATCAAAGGGTCAATTCCATAAAACCAACTTTAAGAGCTGCTTTCCCCCACTTTTTAAAGAAGTGTATTATCTGCAATCCCAGGTAAGCATTCCTTTATATTTTCTCTTTCTTGACTGGTTCATTTTCCTTCTTTTTGGCTAATATTTCGTTAATTATACAGCTAGCATACCCCAAAGTATGTGATTATAGCTGTAGCCTTGATCAAATTTTGTTTGAGGCAAAACACTTTTGGAGCTGACTTTCCTAATTATCTCAGTAAGCTTCTTATTTGGAACATAGAGATTGTCTCACAGTGCCTCCTGAAAGCTATATTCTGACCTGACAGCACACTTTATACTTCTTATAATGTATCGCTAACTCTAGATTATAAGAATTTATTTAGATGTTTATTTTTACTATTAAACCTGAACTTCCTGAAAATATCTTACTCATCTTTTTGTCCCACAAACGTTAACATAGTATTTAATTATAATATGCTAAAGTGAAATAAAACATAGTTGGCTACTCCCAAGAATGTCAATAGCTCCCCTTAGCACAGCCTGAAAGGTGTTTCTTGATCAGGTCCCTGCCTCTGTCCAAGTCTCATCAGCTGTCACTCTCTCCTATCCTTCAGCTCCCGTAAGTTCTAGATCCTCTGGGCCATGCTGCTGCTCACTTCTTGCCTTTGTCCCTTCTCTTCCTTCAAAACATGTGACCCTTTTGACTGCATGGTGAACTCCTCACCATCTTCAAGCCATAGCTCATACTTGTCTGCTTATTGCTTGTGTCCCCTAAACGGCCTTTTAAACTTCATGAAAGTAGGGGCCTGATCTGCCTTGCTCACTGCTCTCTCTCCAGTGCCTGAAAGCAGATTGCGACTGGAGCAGGAAGGGTCTTAAATATGATAAGAAGTTCTGATTATTTCTAGAAGGCAACGGGGACCCACAAAAGGTACTAAGCATTCAACACTTATGGACAGGTTTGTTTTATAAAATCACTATCATTGTTTTCTACAGGAAGGGATTAGAGAAGGCAAGACTGGCCCTAAGAAATCAGATAATTACAGTAAGCAAAAATAATGACGGCCTGCTTTGAGAGTAGCATCAGTGGGTATGGGAGGAGATGAGGGATTTGAGAGAGACATGAGAGACAGAATAGCAGGAATCGATGTACTGGGTGTTGCAGCTACGGTGACAGGGAGTAAAGGATAATTCCAGGTTTCCGGCTTCAAGATTCCGTGGTTGCTGGTGATGTCTAGAGCTATCACTAGTATTACCGTTGTATGTTTACCTGTGAATCACTCCCAACTAGTCGGAAAGGAACCTTGCTAAAAGTCTTTGTATTAGTGGTGTTAGAAAAGTACCTATTTTGTAGGAGGCATATAACAACTAAATGAATGAATTAATACAATGAAAATACTAAACAGTTTGTATGATCCAATAAGACGTATGGCCGATGGTAGAAATTCTAAGTATTCTTTTCTCTGTAGGTTGTATCAAGACGGCGAGGTAAGCAAGCGGTAACTGACTCTCGGTTGCTTTCTGTCTATTGTACAAATAGGAAGCTGACAATAAAGTTTATTTGAGCGTCGACGTGCCCAGACGTGGCCCCGCCCCCGGCCCCAGCCGCGATTGGTGGGCATCAGCTGTTCCTAAGCCACGATTGGCTAAGGCTGCCGTCATTTCGGAGCGCCCCGACGCCCGACCGCCCTCTCGCCGCGTCGCCGGTGCTTGCGCTGCCCGCTCCTCCTTGCCTCTCCTCTCCCGGCCGAAGCCCGGGGGACCGGAGCAAGCTGCCGGGACCATGTTCCGACGCAAGCTGACGGCCCTCGACTACCACAACCCTGCCGGCTTCAACTGCAAAGGTGAGGCGCCGGCTCTGGGCTGACCGCGCGTCACTGGCTCCTCGGGCCTCCGCTCTTTATTGCCGGCACCCGGGCTCCCCACCCGGACCGTACGCGGCCTTGTCTCCCCCGGGCTCCTCTCCTCCCGGCCGCCCAGCGGCCTTTCTCCTTCCCTCCCTGGCTTCGGAGTCCCATCACCCGCTCTTGCCTCGGCATCGTCACTTTCTGCCTTAGTAAACTCCAGAGGCCACCTCCAACTCCCGCCAGCACCCTTAGCTCCCTAGAGGGAAAATCTTACGCTTTCTAAATTAGCGTCGTGGTTCCCGGGTAATTGGGCGATACCTTAAACACCTGTGGGCTTGAGCGGTGCTGGGATAACGAGGAAGGTGCTGAGTAACTTGAAGACTAGTTTCCTGCCCGCCAAGAACTGAGGGGTGGGGGGCAGTCGGAACCCTTCCAGCAGTTTGAGCTGAAGATGTAATGAAGTCCGCGTCTGACAGTGTTGGGGTGAGCGTGTATAGTAATGTGCTAATTGCAGTGTGTGGGACGTGCAAAAGAAAGTTAATAGCAGATGAGCGGGGCGGTTAAATTGTAAGTGAAAAGGTATTTTGGATTTCACAGCATTAAAATTGTAAAACAAACAAAACACAAAACCCC